TGCATGCACGCACACACACTTTGTAAAATTTCCAGACCTGAAGTTAGAATTAGTAAATTATTGCATTTCTCATATTCAGGTATCATCTATGAATCCTTAGTGAAAAGAAGGGAAAAGTTTTGTATCTCTAACTAGTGAACAACTGCTTTCTTTCCTTCTGCTAATAAATTACAGGCAGACTTGAACAGATGTCAGATTGGCATTCAAAACCTAAAATATAGCTGAAGAGCAAGTTATGACTAATACAAGGAAAAAGATGAATGTCAGAAAGCTTCATTTTTTTTTCTTTTTTTCAAATTTCAGATAAGCTCTTTAGCCTTAGGGTTCCTTTTACAGAGCCATGGAGTTCGGCTGGATGTCTTAACTCCCATTTAAATTGCAATCTCTCTTCATGAGTAGGGGTGTGAAAACGCATTTTAAGAGTGTCAGTGTTTATGTTAATCTTAGCAGAACTCCCTTTCTCCCAAATATGGCATGCACAAAACGTTAGTGCCCTTTCTTCCCCTATGTTTTATTTGCACTGTTCTTAGCATGTGAAAGATGTCTGAGTGTGATTGGAAGGCTCCTTATCCTCATGGCAGGTCTACTTCATAGAGGAACTGCAGTTTCACTTATATCAGAAAAGAGTCGCTTTCCTGTTGAATTTCAAAAGAAACCTTTAAAATACAGATTGAAAATGGGCTTAGAGAGGGAGGCACAGAAAAAAGGGGACCAAAAAGAGCACAGTACCAGTTTCAAAGAAGAGGTGCAGAAGGAAAGACTGTAATAAGGGGCTTTCCTCCCCTCGAGGCCTGGACATCTACAGTCTACAAATGCCCGAAAGACAGTGAGTCAGAGACCTCTGGTCTCTACACTCTTTCCTTCTGCTTAGTCTGCAAAAGCTCCTTGAAGATGTGAATGTATTTCTAAAACTACATTAAGACTCTAGTTCTTTAGCAATTATTCCAGTATTCACTGAAAAAGTTCTGTTTTGTTGTTGTTGTTTGTTTTGGCTACAACATTTACAGTTTATAGAGTTTTCCCAGGGATGCTAAAAAATGATATTTTTTGGCAAAACTCTTTGTTAAAAAAAAAAAAGAGTTGCAATGAGAATTGAGGCACTTAATCATTTATTAATCCTTAGCATTCTCCGCAAAACTACATGCAAGGACTAAGTGTGGTAAATGTCTCGAACAGGATATATTTAGTTACATCAGAAAAATTTCAAGGACAGCCTAATTTACCTAATACCTAGCCTAGCCTAACTTCCAGATACCAACTTCTGATGGTTACACTTCTACTCGAAAACCCATGTAGTACTACTATTATCCCACAAAGAAAGGATTTAAGATAATTCCTAATTAATAACATGTGGGGGTTAGATGATATTCTAACAAAATATCTATTTGGTATTCATTAAGCACAAGGTACAGGTATAGTATTCATTGTTAATGTCACATACTACTAAGAAAGAGCTGTCTCACTGGGGTTTGAGTGAGCTTAACTGTTACAGGTGAGAAAAAAGTAAATAGACTAATTAAAACAAAAACAAAAAAGTTTAAACTGATAGTCCCAAAATATCTACATTGATATTTATTTTTCCTATTTCTACACATACACTTTAACCCTCTGTCTACATAGCTTTATGTGACTTCCTTTTCCCTTTAAGGATTTTCTTGCTTTTTAATTCTATAAAAATACAACAAAAGCAGGACAGTATATACTACGTACTTGGAAGTACTTCAAGAGTGACCCTAGGGCTGGGGATGGAGCTGAGTGGCACAGCACCCACCTAGAAAGCACAAGGCCGTAAGTTCAATACTTGATATCAAAAAAGAAAAAAGAGTGACACTAACAAATTGGAAACTATGACAATTATTTTCATATATATTAACCGATCTGATCTCTAATTTCACTGCACAATTGTGCCTCTGTTTAAGTCATTTAGTTTTTAAAAATCTCATCAGCAATATTCTGTGTGTATCTAACCCATATCATCTTTCTATCCTCTTCTTCCTACTTGTCCTCTTTCTCTCTCTCCCTTTCTCCCTCTCTCTAGCAGAACCTGCTGTGCTACATCCCCAGTCCTTTTAAAAATTTTGTGACAAGGCCTCACGAAGTCACTAAGTTGGCTGGGCTTGAACTTGCAATCCTCCTATTTTGGCCTCCGAGAGTACTGGGATCACAGATGTGTGCCACCATACCCAGCTTTTATTTTCAATTTTGTAAAGGAAACATGAAGTTTTACAAGCAAAATGAAAGAAATATATTACCTAGCAACATAATTATCAGTTTCACAAACATAATTACAGAAGACAAAATTCTAAATATAGCACTTTGTGAATTTAACAAATTGATATGTATAGGCAAAATTCATTTAGTTAGGAGACCTATTTTCAAAGTAGACATAACTCCAAATCCCATGGAAAAGGTAATGATTTATATTCAAGCCAAAACTAAAGTTTTCTATTTAAAATTTAAAAGATCTATAATCTACATAAATTATTCTTTTCTAATTTTTATTTGAATCGATTTGACTAATCATACCCTGTGTTTAATCAGATCCCAAAATTATACAGTCTTACCTATTTAGTTGATAAAGAATAAGAAAAAAGATCAGTCTATTTGGTTCCCACCTGGCAAGGTAAAAGAATGTAGGGTATACATAAAAAATTTTACAATTTTATTTATATTCTGCTCAAATATTTATTCATACATATCTTTACCAAGCCTAATGAGAACTTTACAACCCACAATATACTTGGAATGTAATGTAATATTTTACTAATTCCTTCAGAATTCAGACGAAAAAAGAAGCCTCTATTGAATAATGGGGAATGATACATGCATAGCAAAAGAATGGTACTTCTCAGCCATTTAACCTTTTTTTTTTTTAAAAGTAGGTTTACTTTATTTTTCTTTTTTAAAAAAAGATACTCAGAGGCTTCACTGAGAACTTAAAAAAATAATGTTTTTCAATTTGGCTCAAAAGCCAAAATAGCTTTACAGTATTTATATTTTAAATCAAATTGATAACATATGCTTCTTGATAGCAAAAAGCCATAAAGAGAAAAAAGATGACTTTTTAAAAGAGAAAAAGCTCATTCTTTGTCAAATTAAATTAGTATAAACATATTAGAAAAAATTTCCTAAGAAAGGCTATGGACAGTAACACAAACAAAATTCAAATCCAAATTCAAAATTCAAAATTCAGGGCTGGGGATTTAGCTCAGTAGTTCAGTGGCCTGCCTTGCAAGCGCAAGGACCTGAGTTCAATCCCTGGTACAAAAAAAAAAAAAAAAAAATTCAAAATTCAGTCTTTAGTCAAATCACATAAACAACAATAATAAAAAGAAAATCACTATAATTAAATTCATTGAAATATGGATATCAGGAATAGATTAAAATTCACTAATAAATTCCAAACCTATACTGATTTAATTTCAAACACTTTCACAGCTGGCAAAGTCACAAATTATTGACAGAAGTTCTTATATATTAACTATATATGACAGAGGCTTTCATGCACAGGGTCTTGATAATGTACAAAAAGGAAACAAGTATCTGTGTAACTAAATCCTCAATAGCTTCAAAACAGTGAGAAAATACAGTTAAAAAAAGGTGAGTGGTGATGGCTTACTACCAAAGTCTTTATTTTTCTACTTGTTGGCTAGACAGTACAAATATTCAAGAAAACAGAATCATTAACTCCTCTAGGTCTCAGTTCTGAAAATTGGTAAAGTATTCCATAAGAATAACTTAGAGGACCTGCAATCATTCTTTTAACTCTGCTTTTACCCAAAATATACCTAAACAACATTCTACATCTTCATAAAAATTTTTAAAGAATTTATTGTGTTTCAAAATACACACTATCAAGATAGTAAACTATAGTATCACATTTTTTCATTATTTTCCAAATTAGAATTCTGTTCTTTTATGGACTTGGCCTTTGTATCTTTCAGGGAAAAAGTATGTTATTGACATTTCAAGGTGTATAAAACTCAGGTGATGAGGGTCTCTGTCAGTTTCTCTTAATCCAATTCCAAACTCGACCTTTACTCAGTGAACAGGTGTGTGCCGTGCCTGCAAATTATCAGAGTGAGTGACCAGGCAGAAAAGCTACCAACAATAGTACTTAATGCCTAGAAAGCAGTTCTTATCCCAACTGTGATGAATATACTTTTATCTCCTAGTAGCAATTTAAAGAAAAAGAGTGATGAGGGTGAGGGGAATAATATATTTGTATTCCTTCAGGTTTGTTTTTTTTTTGGGATCCTATTTTTACGCAAATAGTCTGCTAGAAGTTGTTAGGTTATAAATTCCTTTCTCAGATAGTCTGTTGCTCACATTCCAGTTTAACGTATGATATAGATATGAAAACAGTCATGACAGCATTTCCACTGGGCAAACAGAGTCATTTCAAACAGATAAATTAAATAAACCTTCAAGAAGAAAGTGATAAATGAATAGAGCATTTCTTTGTATGCAATACAGAAACTCTCATGTATATGCTGGATTTATCTTTTGATATAAAACTTATTCAACTTAAAAACATGCCAGGAATTCATTTCCTTGGTATGAAGAGTAACTAAGTGTGTAATTAAAAAGTATAATAAAAAGAATATCTTATATTAGAGAAATGCCCACATAAAATGCTTACATGAGAAAAATAGCCCATTATCCATATTTCAATGAATTATCAATTCAGCAGGGTAAATCTGACCTACAGTTGATGTTTAGAATCAGGTAAAATTTCTAAACCTGCCCTATAGAAAAACATTCTAAACTAAACAAATAAATAAGATGAAACAAGCACAAATATTGTTTCTGTGACTTCTCCATAAAGTTAAATATTTGGAAACTTTTTCAGAAAGCTTTAGGATTTTTTAAAAAAGCAGTTAAGACTGAAAATACTTTTGGTAGATCTGAAAAATAATTTCAAAACTACTGAAAAGAGATTATCATTTAATTTTTTTAAACAATACCAGCTTTTATCAAATTTTCCTTTTTGAACTCACCCATCTGCTCCACAATCTCTGGCGGAAATACTCGGGAAGCAAATGCTCGTCGAAAAATATCTGAAAATTCTTTGTCCAGACCTCCTATTCCCATTTTTTCAAAGTTCCAATCAGGATTGATGATAGACTGGCGATTTTCCTTAGTTTTAGCCTTGCCTATATCAAACATAATCAAATGTGAAGAGAACTTTGTCATAAAGTATAAAAAGACAGATACTCTCTGGGCATTCTAAATGAATAAAAACAAGCTACACTTAGGCAAAGAACACCAACATAATTTTGGATGATTTTCTAAGAATTAGGGTAAGTTTGCATTACCTACTTTTTCTGGTCTCCATTCACAGTAAGTGCTAAACTTTCAAAATGACCAGCTAAACTTATGCTGTAGTATATATTCTATTTGTAATCAATCTATGGATTTTGATTTAATTAACTTTTAAGTCACCAAACTAACAACATGGTTGATTAGAAGAAACACTATATGCATATCTGATAGAAAAAAAAGCATTGATTGCCCAAAATGCAATTAGAATCTAGCAGTTTCTCAAGGCTTCAAAAGCAAGTATAATTAAAATACATACATTTATCTAAATTAGGTTTATAATTACGTATACAAACCTTTTGCCTGAGATGTCCTCAATCAACTTGTTTTATTTTCTTTACATGCACACAAAAGTCTAAAAATCATTGTAAAGACTTTAATGATTACAAAATTCATGTTTACAACAGTCTCTCACAAGGGTAACAATTATCTAACTTAAATGTCAGAGTGCCTCCTAAAGTAACTCAAGAGAACCACATTTACTCTTCAAACACAATGAAAAAAGGTACCTTATACTCTAAATAAAAAGTAAAAATAAAGCTTTTATAAAGTCAGGGAAGAAAACATCACATTTAAAATGTTTACATCATAAGTTTATGTTTAGAGTTTTGGAGACTTAAAATTTCTTTTAGGAAGTGATCAAAAATATTTTGCTTTCACTCCACTGCCCTCTTGTGGTGAAATTTGCTATATGGCAAAGTGCTACATAAATTTTGTTTTCTGATGGAAATTGCATCTTTTCAGACTTTTCTTCTTCTATTTTTGTATAGATTACCTGGAAACATCAACATTGTATGAAAGTTATGTAATTCTTGGGATAAAATATCTTAAACTATGTACAGAAATAAGATACAGAGCTGGGTATTTAGCTCAGTGGTACCACGTCTGCCTCATGAGCGCAAGGTCCTGAGTTTAAAAAATAATAAATAAATAAGGGCCGGGGATTTGGCTCAGTGTAACTGCACCTGCCTTGCAAGCACAAGGTCCTGAGTTTGATCTCTGGTACAGAAAAAAAAACAAGAGAGACAAAGTAATCACTTCATAAATATTTTGGATAAGCAGAGATTATAATAACCCAACATATAAATGATTACATAGGCATTAAAATAATATTGTAGCAGAGTATCGAGATGTATAACACATGCTAAAATGAAAAAGCAAATTATAAAACAGTGCAAAAATAAAGTCATATTTTAGCATGTGAATATTGAGATTGCCTGCCTGTATTTTATTATTAAGAAAATATAGTAAGAGGGAATGATAATTTATGAATCAAGAGAAAAAGGCCACACATTTTTAAAAAGTTAAATAACCTTGGACAAGATAGTGTGCAGACAATGAAAAGCTTTTTTATTGAGGCAGATATAAACATAGCTAAATCAACCAAAACTAAGTATTACTATCCAGTTAATGGCACTGTTATTTTGATGAGCTACTATTCTTGGACTAAGCTGCATTATTTTAATATACTAAAAATAAGGCTGCCAGAATTTAGCTCAGTGGTGCTGCACATGCCTTGTAAGCAACAAGGTCCTGACTTTGATCCTTGGTACCAGAAAAAAAAAAAAAAAAAAAGGCTACAGTACAAGAGGAAGAAAAAACAAAAGAGATAAAGTACAAGAGAAACACTGAACTAAGAATCATAAGAAACATTTTAATTGCATATTCATCATTTGATCCCTAATAAAAGTGGTAATAGTATCTCACTTAACACAACCGAATGAGGGACACTTTATAATTGGCCATTTTTCAAGGTCATGAAAGAAAGAAATTCTGAAGAACTGTCAGAGACTGGAAAAGACTAAAAACGACTAAATGCATTGTCAGATAATCCTAAATAAGATCTCAGAACAGAGAAATGACACAATGGAAAAATGACATAAATAAAAACCATAATGGTGAAATCCAAATAAAATCTGTAGTTCGGTTATTACCCATGAGACCACATGATAAGTCCAGCATGATTATGTAAACAAGAGAGAAGGCTGGCAATGTGTATACAGAAACTTCTGAGCTATTTTTACAAATCTGTAGGCCTAAAATTATCAAAAATTTAAAATTAAAAAATTAATTTCATGGTTTCTTTTTATCTTAGAGGGGCTATTAGAAAATTTAAAAATTACAAATGTGCTTCACATTCTATTTCTATTGGCCAAAGCTGATCCAGATGAAAGTTTTAAACTTTTTCATTAGCATTTCTGACAAATATGAAATACCTCTTGGTTTTGTGATAAGTCCTCTAAAGAGAAACCCCTTCTTCTCTCCCCTAACTTGAAAATCATTTGAGTCACAAAAAATAAAACTAAATCTTACCGATAAGATTGAGTGATGAATTTTCTGCTTTTTCAAATGCAACTTGACTGTTTCCAACAACCAGTCCTATTTCAATCTATATAGAAAGATAATAATTAGCAGGCTAACAACAGACTTCTGGACTTCTCAAAGCAAGGTGAAAAATAAAGGGAGAATGAAATCTCTGTGCAAAGCAAATCTTCCAAAACAATCACCCGAGTTATTTACTTTTATCGTAACTACCTCCTACAATCTTACATATTTTATTTAAATCCTTGTATCTTTTCAATAATTCTCCTGTATTCAACAAGAATCACAAATATCAACAAGTATATTCAAGGGCTAAGGATTTAGCTCAGTGATATTGTGCCTGCCTCACAAGCGCAAGGTCCTGAGTTCGACCTGTGATACCGGAAAAACAAGTATAATCAAATTTCAAATTACTGTATCTGCAAATAAGTATATTTAAGTTATATTTTAATAAAGATTTCTATAAAAGCAATATTTCTTACTACCTCAAAAGAGACCACAATATGAAAAAAATTGCCAAGCAAGAGGATGTTAGGAAAATTAATTTGCACAATTCATATCATAAAGATTAGAAATAATAATAAAGATTAGAAATAAATCATACCTTCTGTCTTTTACCTGTTGCAGCCTCTCCTCTCAGGATGCTAGGATCCATGGCTTCAATATCCTTCACCAGTAAGCCAAAAAGCTTTTCATTGAAGGTAAACACGAGCTACATAGGACAAAATTACTTTATGATATAAATGGCTCGACTCTCACATTATCAGGTATATTTTCCAAATACATAAAATCAGTTTTCTCCTTTGTACTTTTCTTAAATATGTTCCATAAGCACATTCACAGTGTCAATGAGAGGAAAGAGAGCTAGTATTTATGATCTGCTAGGTATCAAACACTAGAGGAGCTTAGAAAACTAATTCAAGTGCTCTTGGAAACAAACTACAGTATTGTTCGGTATTGCTAGTGAGGAAGCTGAGATCCAGAAAGAGGCTATGTAGTGGACTCAGAGTAGAGTAAATGATAGTGCCAGGGGTCAATTCCAGGTCTACGACTTTAAATTTCATGCTTTTCTATAAATAGTATAAAATGCCTGCCACACAAGTGCAGAGACAGACTCTGAATTCATTCACAAAATACCAGTTGCATGTCTTCTACAACCTAGTATGTTGGGATGTAATAGTAATACCAATCCTGCTATTACTACTACAAATGAGAATAAACACTAAGAATAGCCATTTGGGATAAGATACTTATTTCTCTGTATTCTAGAGAAATTTATTTCATGGATTTATTGACATATTCATGTCATTGGGTTTGACATGATTATAAATACCAAAATACTTTTTATTAAACATCTTTCTATGTATTTTCTATTAAAATACTAAAGATTGGCCAGGGATTTAGCTCAGTGGCACTGCACCTGCCTCGTAAGTGCAAGGTCTAGAGTTCAATCCATGTTACTGGAAAAATAAAAATACTAAAGATGAAGACAAAGGTGGAAAAAATGAAGTTTAGGTAGGCAATGTAAGTATAAAAATGCAGGAATCCAGAAGGAATATAACATAGTCAAAAAGCAGAGGACTGAATCAACAAATTACCATCTAACAAGCATCTGGGGCAGCCTTCTCAAATCATCTGGTACAAAACAGTATGGCAATGGCTCTCTACTACAGCATCAAGATCTACTTACATCAGAGTACTTGACAATACACAGCATTTTTCATTTTCTGGCTTCCTCAACTAGAAAGCAAGTTCTAGGGAGAGTGGTTGGAAAATACTTGATGCTATTAAATATTTGTTTAATTCTGAGCTATGTTCTTAGTTGTATAACCATAGGCATATAATTTGCCTTCTTTCACTTGTAAATAAAGTTAGACAGGTAATCTCTGAAGTTCATTCCAATTCTCATATTTTCCTTAAAAATGCACTATATTTGGGCTGGGGATTTAGCTCAGTGGTTCCGCTGCCTGCCTCGCAAGCATAAGGTCCTGAGTTTGATCCCCAGTACCCCACCCCAAATACACTACATTCTTTTCTTGTCTATTAGTAATTCAGATTCCATTTGCAAAAAAAACCTGATCTTATAAAGTACAGACTACCCAGGTCATTAGTCTTATTCATCCAGATATATCAGGCAGGAGAGTAAAAAATAACATTCCTTCCACCTCAATAGTTCTTGCCTTCTGCTACTGTTCTCACTATTCAGCAAGATCAGGCTAGGTAAGTCATTAGTGATCAGAACGCTAGAGCAGTGACTCTCAAACATTTTGGTCTCAGAATACTATTATACACTTCTAAAAATGTCTGAGGAGCCCAAAGAGCCTTTGTTCATATGGATCAGATCTATTGATATTCACCACATTACAGATTAGAATTTAAAATATAAATACATTGATTTAAAATTAATAATAAATCTATATATTAACATTAATTTTTAAATTTAAAAATCCTACTTTCTAAAAACAAAGACTGGCACTAACGTTTTTACAAATCTCTTTAGTGTTTGGCTTAATGTAGGATAACTGGATTCTCACTTCTGTTTCAGCATCAAGGTGCTATGCTAGCATATATCACAGTCTCTGTAAAACTCCACTATACACTTGTAAAAGAGTAAGAGAAAAAAGACAAATAATGCCTTGACATCATTATGAAAATAGTTTTGAATGTATACAACCACTGAAAAAGTTCAAGGGATACCTTGAATTCTCTGGACCACACTTTGAGACTACTTCTATAGAACCATGATATGAAGGAGTCATCTGGAGTGATTTACTTTGTTTGTTTGTTTTGGTACTGGGGATAGAACTCGGGACCTTGCGCTTTTGAGGCAGACAGTGGAACCTTTGAGCTAAATCCTGGCCCCATCTGGAATGATTTAAAAAGTCACAAAGAAGGGGACAAATGTGATAGGTGAAAAGAACAATGATTACTCATGTGAACAACTTTTAAACTCACACATCAAGTATAATTTTAAAAGAAAATAATTTCTTCTTGAGAGGTTTAACATGTAGTATTATTCCAAGACCAAAAAGCAGGCAGTACTTAATGGCAAACGTTTTCATAAACTATAGGCTTCAGAAGTTCCATATACATACTGAAAATATATGCACATAGTTTTCTTTTCTTTTTCTCTTTTGGTATGGGGATTGAATTCACGACCTTGCGCTTGAAAGACAGGTGGCGTTGCCACTGAGCTAAATCCATGGTCCCACACAGTTTTCTTAAGATTCTCAAATAAGTATTAATCAAAAAAATTAAGTACTACTTTTCTACAGAAACATTAGTGAAACATAAAGACATCCCAGACACAAAACAAGGGTCCTGCAATAAGAAATTTCAGATATATGTCTACAGTGTTCCCAAATTTTCAGAGGAAAAGCTACTGTAAGTATATATGACATCTTAATCCAAAAAAAAAAAAAAATTTTTTTTTTTTTTTTTTTTACAGCGATCAAACTCAGGTCCTCGTGCTCACAAGGTAGGTGGCAGAACCACTGAGCTAAATCCCCAGCCCCTACTTTAAAATTTTTATAAACAGACTTCAAGAGGTTCAGTAAACACATCTCTCTTTTTATCATCAATCTTGGATATACCTGTTCACATGTCAAGTTCCTCAGTCTTTAAAACATATAATTAATTTTGGACAATGTCCAGGATTAGAAAACCTAGAAAGTGAAAAGAATCAAAGAAAATTTAGACTTACCTGCTGTCCCACTGAGAAGGCCTGGTTGTTGAATTGCTGAATAAATTCTGCTGCCATCTTGTCGGTATCGTAAGGATTAGAGTCAATGCTTTTTTTCTGCAGGAAATCAATCTCCATGGTCATTGTGCCAATACATTGTTTGGCTTTGTCAAATGTATATAAAGAGACTGGGAGGGAAAAAAGTATTTTTTAAAATCACAGGGACACCAAATACTTGCTGTGTTTCTAGTAGTAAAAGTTCAACATAAATGAATCATAACAATATTTGACCAGAAGAGGGCTTCACATGGCCTTCACTGGAGGGAGAGAGCACAAATTTTAAAAATGGTAATAACCTGGGCTGGGGATTTAGCCAGTCACCTGCCTCACAAGCACAAGATCCTGATACAAAAAAAAAAAAGTAATAACCAGGGCCAAGGGATTTAGCTCAGTGGTGCCACACCTGCCTCACAAATGAAAGGTCCTGAGTTCAATCCCCAGTACCCAAACTAAAACAAACAAACAAAAAAATAGTAATAATGACTAGAGACTTTCTTCCTCATCTGAATTAATTAGAAAATACCAAACAATCTCTCCCTCATCTCTTTTACCCTTAACTCATCTATGCAAAATCACAGCCCCTCCCCTCTACGCATCTTTCTCCTTCAAATTTAACAGAGGACGAAATGTCACTATGGAAAGCCCTAGCAGAGTTGACACTGCATGTGGTTTCCAAAGATTTGGTTGACAACAAAATTAAAAAAGCTAAGAAGTGGGCAGTAAGAGGTAGGTAGATCCTTTTGTCCTATAAAAGATGCACACCGGGGAGATGTGCTCTAGAGCAAGCTGTAGTGTGACATATCTCTTTTAATACTATAATAATATTAAGCTGCACATGGTGATACATGCCTGAGATCCAAGCACTCAGAAGGCTAAGGCAAGAGATCTCCACAAGTTCTAGGCCAGCTTGGACAACATAGTGAGTTTAAGGTCAGCCTGAACTAATATCATGAGACACTATCTTAAAAAAAAAAAAACAAGACAAAACAAAAAAAACCAAAAAACCCATGAAGTAATCAGTACATCAAGGAATCAGTCAGTTGTATACGTAGAAGATGTAGAACAGGGCAAGGGCCATGTTTTTAACTCATCTTTTATTACAGCATCTAACTGTCTTTTAGGTGCTTACTATACTCAAGAGCTTCTTAAATGAAACAGCAAAACCCCAGTGATCTCAAAGCTAATACTAACGGAGGCAAGACAAGTATATATACAAATAATTGGGTAAGAAAATTGCTATTCAATTCATGTGAAAACTTTTTATTCCTCTAACATACCAAACTGCCTTTGGCTTCTCTAATGCTCAGTTTGCTTTGCAGGTTCCACATGGGCATCATGAGTTCATTATCTATGTGCTACTTATATTCATTACAATAATTATGCAATAAAATTAAATAACATTAAAAACTTTACACTTTTACATTCTAGAATTGATCTTATAAAACTAAGTGGAGCCAGGTGTGGTACACACCTCTAATCCCAGCACTCAGGAGGCTGAGGCCAGCCTGAGCTACATAGTGAGTTCAAGGCCATCCTAAACTACATGGTCAGACCCTGCCTCAAACAAACGTACAAATCTTGAAAAAATTAAGTGGAGGGAGATAGGGGAGGGGAATAGGGAAAAAACAAGAACCGATATACATCACGTAAAGGTACAAGTTCCCAATGATGAATGTAAATGTATTGTATACTTAAAATGTACTGATAAAAGAATTGAAGACAGAAAAAGAAAAAGAAAATACAAACCACACCAGGCACCAAATATTAGGACACTCCCTGCAAAGAAAGTTATTAATACCACAGCAAGTAAGGACACACAGTAAACACTAGAAACACATTATAACTAGACAAAATACATTTTTTGGGGGGGACTAAGTGGAAAGCTTAGGGGAAAACTTGGAAAAATGAAGAACTTTCTGTAAAACTAGGTATAAGCCCAAAAATTAGAAAAGATTAGGGGTGAAATTCACTAAAAATCCAAAAGGAATTTTGTACTCTGAAATGCTTACTAAAAGTCAAAGTTCTCCATCCATTTCAAAGAACTCATATGAAAATTATGGTTGAAGTTAATGTGCAAGACAGTATCAAACTCCAATCTGTGGACCAAAACTCCAAGAAAGGCTTTTAACCTACTTTTGAAATAATTTTCAGGCCCAGTCATAAAGGCTTAACAGAGCTTCTACGGTTTTTACAAAAGCAGGTTAATAAAAAAAGATTGTTTTTTTATATTCACTTTAAACAAGAAATACAGTACTTTTGCAAATTGCTGTGGTCAAATAGCAAGAAGCTAAAAAAAGTCACTGCAGTGTAGTTTTCAGTTGATCAGTAATTATTAAATACCTGCTGCAAAGATTATAGTGGTTCACAAACAAAGCTGTTCTCTTCAAAGGAACTTTGATTCTGCATGTTTTAATAGATCCTGCTAGAATATAGGTAAATCACTTTAGCTCTCTATGCCTTCATTCATCACATGTGTAAATCAGGAAAACTAGACTAGGCAATTCTGTATGGTCATTCCTCATTCATACTGTAAATTCCAAACTGATTTCTTATAATCTAGCCATTTAAGGTATGTACAAGGACTTTCTGTAAATTCTTTAAGTGAAATTGCTTGTAAGCACATTTTTATTTTTTCTATTTTTTGGTACTGGGGATCAAATTCAGGACCTTGCAATTGCAAGGCAGGTGGCAGGACCACTGAGCTAAATCCCCGGCCCCAAAGGCATGTTTCTATATCTTAGCTTGCCATCATAAAGGGAGCAGACATATTTTAAATATTTCAAAATCAAAATAAAAAAGCCAAGGTAGGAGGTGGGAAATGTATTAAATATCAAAGAATATGTTCAAGTTATGGCTGGAAGTTTCTGGATACTCTGAACATTTGGGACATTTTGTTCCTTCTTTACATTTCCTAAAAAGCACAGCTTCGAGGGTGAATAACTTTTATAGGCAAAAAAGGTTAGTTATTTCCCCATACACTGAGTACTCATATGTTGAAATATTAATATAAAACAGAACAGGGCCAGGGATTTAGCTCAGTGGTTCCAAGTTCGATCCTCAGTATCACAAAAACAAAAATAAAAACCAACAGAATAAAGCGGATTCAGAAATTCCATTTTCAGGTTATCTATCCTAGAAAGTCCTTTTTTTCCCCTAGAAAGATTCTGGAACATTTGCCTAAAAAGAGATCTATAGGGAGATTCACAGCAGCATTATTTGCAATAGTCAAACAATAATGAATAAAATAATTTAATTTCATTAAAATAAAAATTTGATCTACGTTTGACATGAAAATATAATACTGAATGAAAAAGTATAATTCAGAAATATTTGTGCAGCATATCATTTTATGCACGAAAGACTCCAAAACAATACTGTAATATAATGCATAAATATATGTGCACATATGTACATATCTATATGACTTTCATACCGAGAAATTAAAATAGCTTCTTAGTGTGTAGTTTTCAAGTTCATTTTAAGATCAACATTCCTAAATAGAAAAGACCAAGCTGTTACAATTTCAACACTATGGGGAGTACCATGGACAGTATCATACGCAGCACCATGGTCAGCGTCACGGTCAGTCCCAAAGAGACGGGAATTCTTGAAAGTTTCAGCCAATAGCAAAGGAGGATATGGAGAATGGTTTCTTCTTTTATAGCTAATAGCAATGTACTAAGTTATAGTCAATGCTCTGGATAAACTTGAACGTTATAATAATAGGCATGGAACAGCTCCTCCCCAAAAGTGTCAACTGAACATCAGCCTGTAATACCTGAAATATGGCAATGCCAGATGGACAGAATACATGATTCTTCTAGAAGATTCTCTCAGACTAAAAGCACAAATTTCTCACAGACTAAAATCCCACTCCAGAATCCCTGAACACTCTTACTATAAGCCACACCTCTTATCCTATCTCTACTTACACTGAACCAATTTTTACCTTTATGGCCATGTCATCCTCCATATCAGTAAGACCTCAAACCGTTCCTTGTCTCAAGCTTACTCCATCTACCTTAGTCCTACCTGACCATTAGGTTTTAAATTTTGCCAACTAAAAATCTGTTTGACTTACTTCTGTATTTTTTCTATTACTGCTGTTCTTTTTATTTACTCTCTAAAGATATGTCTCTACAATCTATATAAGTTCATTTCCGATAGCACAGAGTGCTTTTATGACACAATTTAAGCCACAAATACATCACTCATCAAAATGTATAAACTTCAAAATCCATAACTTTCCAGAATAAATCTTTTAAAAGATAAATTTCAGTACCCTCTTACACTTAAATATAGACCAGTAAATTTAAGGAAATTAGAGACATAAGCTACATACATCTTCTTATCAGAAGATGTTTTAATAAGTATTCATTTTCATCTCTGCCAATGTTTACAAGTAGGAAACCCTTCAAGTACTTGACCTAGTTCATTTCGGTGCTAAATCTCTCCCCTTTTCCAGCTTCTCACTATGCTTCAGGTGATAATCACTTATGTCAGCATTTCCCAAAACGTGGCTGATAAGAGCCATTTAAGAGTGGCTGCTAAAAACACATACGTGAATCAGAGTTCCCCAAAGAGAAGCCTATGAATCTTTTTTAAAAAATAAACCCCCTGGGTAACTCTTTCAAGTGTGGAGAGCACTAAGTATGTATCCCTCTCCATCAACCACCCATATCTAAAGTAATCACCTTTGTTTCTGTTTTCAAAGTTCTTCATCCCTAATTTAACTTTCACAAAGAAAAGGAAGAACTAAAAATAGCCTTCAGGTTAAGTCCCCTCTAACTCAGAAAAATGTATAAGTAGTTACATGCGTAAATGAAAAGTAGAATGTTCTCTCCTGCATTTTACCTTCTTAAGTCTTTGTCTTCTTTTAGCCAGTTTAAAGCTGTCAGGTCTAGAGGATAATGGTGGACCTATTAATTTGAATATTCCCTAAGGCCCCATAGAAAGAACAAGGAGACAATACCACATATATCTATACCTTCAGCATTACTAGAATACAAAGAATAACATAAAACTCAAATTACTTGAAAAATAGAGCAATAAGCACCAAAATTACGGAGTTCCCAATGTGGAATGGGGACAGGGAAGACAGAAGGGAAAGCTGGACATAAAATTGCCT